ACGTTACACCACAGTCTTCCCCTTGCGTAGCAAGGGTGATGTCACTGAGGTGTTGATCGACTGGATCCGCGCAGCTCGTCTCCAGCTCAGGCACAGCTTCGGCTCGGACTTTCCTGTTCTGCGTTTGCACTCTAACTGAGGTGGAGTGTTCTTCTTTGGCCTTCCGCGAGCCTACTAACGTGCACGAGGCATCCGCCAGACCTTCACGCTTCCGAACTCTCCACAGCAAAATGGGATTGCTGAGCGCCGCATTGGCATGGTCATGGGCGTCGCTCGTACGTCCATGATGCATGCGGCTGCCCCCCATTTTCTTTGGCCGTTTGCGGTTCGGTACGCGGCGCATCAGATCAACCTTCAGCCCAAGGTCTCCATGCCGGAGACCTCCCGAGCCTTGCTGTGGACGAGGAAGGTTGGCGATGCGTCTGCGTTCCGTGTCTGGGGATCTCGGGCGTTTGTCCGCGACTTGTCTACGGACAAGCTGTCCCCTCGTGCTGCTCCTTGCGTCTTCGTGGGTTTCCCCCCTGACGCGCCAGGGTGGCAGTTGTACCACCCCACCTCTCGTCGTGTTCTGTCCTCCCAGGACGTCACGTTTGACAAGTCGGTCCCCTACTACCGCCTCTTCCCCTACCGCACTTCGTCACTCCCCCCGCCACCGCTCTTCCTTGTGCCAGGTCCCCCCCCGGTAGACCCCCTTCCCCCTCAGGGTCCTGCCCCTTGAGGTGTGTCCCAGGTAGACGCAGTTGAGCCTGTCGAGGTCGCTGGTGAATCTGGTGCTGCTGGAGGTGCTAAGCCGGGGGGTGCTGAGCCTGGGGGTGCTAAGTCTAAGGGTGCTACGACTGGGGGTGCTGAGCCTGGGGGTGTTGAGTCTGGGGTTGCTGAGCCTGGGGGTGCTACGACTGGGGGTGCTGCGCCTGGGGGTGCTGAGCGTGGGGGTGCTACGATTGGAGGTGCTGAGCCTGGGGGTGCGGAGCCTAGAGGTGTTGAGCCTGGGGGTGCGGAGCCTGAGGGAGCTGTGCCTGCTGGTGTGGCGTCTGGCGGTGCTGGGCCTGGCGGTTCTCCGGGTGCTCCGTCTCGACGGGAGCCACTCTCTCCACAAGAGCTGCGTGAGTGGTTTGCCCGGCGCTGGAGGCGTGCTGCTGGAGCTGGAGGTTCTTCGGCTGATGAAGGTGCTGGTGCCACGGATCCCGGAGGTGCTCGTACTAGGAGTACTGGAGCTGCTGGGCCTGCGGGTACTACTGGAGCAGGAGCCACTGCGTCTTCTCCTGGTCTGCCTGGAGGTGGAGCTGCTGAGGGTGTTGGCGCTGAGGGTGCTGCTGGCGGTACTGGAGGCGGTCCTGCTGGGGGTGCTACTGGTAATGCTTGAGATCCTGGAGCTACTGGGGGTACTGGAGCTGGAGGTGCTGCTCGCGCTGGTGCTACCACTAGGGGTACTGGTGCTGTCCCTGCTGTGTCTGGAGCCGCTGCGCGGCCTCGGCCGTACTTCGCTCCGCTCCTTGAGCAGGTTCTTGGTCTCCCGCCTTCTACTGGTCCTCCTTCCTTAGCGTGTCCACAGTCTGTCCCGTCGCAGTTACAGTTACAGCCTGCCTCCCCAGTGCCTGCTCCTTCTCCCTACACTGGTCCTACTGGAGGTCTTGCTGAGCGTCGTGAGCCTGCGTCTCGCCCTACGTCGCCTGTTTGTGCCGCTCGCGCTAGTGGTCATGGTTCACGCCAGCGTCCTCCTCCTGTCCCTGGCACGCACCAGATGTCTCTGCGTCCGTCCACTGCTGCTCTGCGTGCCCCTTTGCCGTCTCCTCCTGAGTCCTCTCTTCCTGTTATTGCCGACCCGGAGTTGGACTCTCTTCGTGCTGCCAGTCCTACTGTCACGCGTCTCCTTGCTACTGTTGTCACTGACCCTTCCTTTGAGTCCACTACTGCGTCTTCCCTAGTTGATGAGCTCGTCGACTTTGCTGCTCGCTGTCGTCTAGACTACGCTGCTAGTCTTGTTGCTGAGTCTGAGTCTGTCTGTCCTCCGTCCGTCGGGGGTGAGTGTGCCCTTGTCATGGACGTCCTTGAGGACAGGCAGGAGGAGTTCCAGTATTTGGCTGCTGCTTCACCTCATCTCGTGTCCGTACTGCTTACCCCTGAGGGAGACCCGGATGCACTTGACATCCCGACTCCGCGCTCTTACGCGGAGGCGATAGAGGGTCCCTTCTTCTCTCAGTGGCATGCAGCAATGGACGCAGAGATGGCTTCCTGGAAGTCCACAGGCACCTACGTTGACGACGTTCCCCCTCCTGGGGCGAACATCGCCAGTGGCATGTGGATTTTCAGGGTGAAGCGGCCGCCAGGTTCTCCGTTTGTCTTCAAGGCGCGTTACGCGGCTCGTGGCTTCAATCAGCGGCAGGGAGTTGACTACTTTCAGACCTTCTCTCCCACCCCGAAGATGACCACTCTTCGGGTACTACTGCACATAGCTGCTCACTGTGACTACGAGCTGCACTCTCTTGACTTCAGCACTACTTTCTTGTAGGGCAGCCTGCACGAGGAGATCTGGCTGCGCCGCCCACCTGACTTCACTGGGTCTTTTCCTCCTGGCCACTCTACGGTCTCCGCCAGGCACCGCGTGAGTGGCACGACACACTGAGGACTACACTTGCGGCTCTTGGGTTTGCTCCCTCTACTGCCGACCCGTTGCTGTTTCTGTGCACCGACACCTCTCTGCCGCCGTTCTACATCCTCATGTACGTCGACGACTTGGTCTTTACCACAGCTGACACTGCTGGACTCGCCCACGTGAAGTCCGAGCTGCAAAAGAGACACACGTGCACAGACCTGGGTGAATTGCGCAGCTACCTTGGCTTGCAGATCACCCGGGACAAAGCAAACCGCACCATTACCCTGACTCAGTCACACATGGTGCAGCAGGTCCTCCAGCGCTTCGGCTTCACGTACTCCTCGCCTCAGGCCACTCCTCTGCCTACTTGCCACTCGCTCTCAGCTCTGCCTTCGGATGAGTCCGTAGAGTCGAGTGGCCCGTACTCAGAGCTTGTTGGCTGCCTCATGTACCTGATGACCTGCACACGACCTGACCTTGCATACCCTCTTAGCATTCTCGCACGCTATGTTGCTCCTTGGAGACACAGACCGGAGCACATGGCTGCAGCGAAGAGGGTGTTGCGCTACTTGTGCAGTACGTCGGGCATGGGGCTTGTGCTTGGAGGGCGGAGTCCAGTGGTCCTCACCGGGCATGCAGACGCTTCTTGGGCTGACGACCAGGCTACGCAGCGGTCGTCACAAGGGTTACACATTCAGCCTTGGTTCCGGCTCTGTTTCGTGGCGGGCTACCCGCTCGTCTTCTGTTCTCGGCTCCAGTTGTGAGGCTGAGATCTACGCAGGGGCCATGGCTGTTGGGCTGAGAAAATAGCCCTTAGGATCTTTGCAGAGGAGAACTCTTGGGTAGAAAACTTGTAATAGCGGAAGCGTTTGATGAGGATTGTGAACCGACCTTGCACTGGTGTGTGAGAGCAAAGTAGATTGAATTAAACAAGCAAATACAAGGATTTATATAAGAGTACAGGGAATACGAATAGATAGGTAGATAACTGTATTGCTGTTGCGGTTCGATACAGTGCGACTCGGGCAACTGCTCTGTAACGAGTCAGTTGTGTGTCCTTAACTGTCGCGCTGTGATTGTCGAGTCAAAGGTCAGCGACCTTTGACTTTCTCGTAACCTCCAGGCGGTTACCCTAACCTCCGAGGTTGACTCGATGCTTCGATTGGGACTGCTTCGCTTGGTGCCTTGGGTTTTGATACGACAGAAGCGCACTTAGGACTTATTGTTTCCAACAATGGCTACACAGGAGCTTCGTTGGCTCACCTTCCTGCTGACTGACCTCGGAGAGCTGCCTCGTTCTCCTCCAGTACTGTACGTAGACAACAAGGCCATGCTGGCCTTGTGTCGAGAGCAGAGACTGGAGCACAGAACAAAGCGCAGTGCTCTCCGCTACTTCCTTGCTCGTGAGCTACAGCAGCGTGGTCAGCTGCGGCTTGTGTACGTGACCTCTGAGGCCAACACTGCTGATATCTTCACCAAGGTACTTGCGCCTTGTGATCATCAGCGCTTTTGTACTCAGCTGGGTCTTGTGCCTACCTTGCCTCACTTGCTCACCCCTTGACCTTGTTTGTACTGTTAAATATATACACCTGCTCTTGCTTGTCCAGCTATATATCGAGTCAGTTGTGTGTCCTTGCTGTTGCGCTGCATTTGTCAAGTCAAAGGTCGCTTGACCTTTGACTTTCGCGTAACCTCCAGCGGTTACTTCAACCTCCGAGGGTTGACTCGCTGGTGCCTCGATATGCTCTGCTTCGCTTGTGCCTTGGTGTTTCGACACGACAGAGGCGCTTAAGATTGTTTGTTCCCAACACGCGTAACCTCCAGCAGTTGCTTCAGTTGTCAACCTCCGATGGTTGACTCGCTGATGTTTCGTTTGTGCTTCGCTTCGTTTAAGACTTGATGTTTCAACGTAGCAGAAGCGCTTAAATCACTTGTTTCCAACATTCTATTGCCCGTTTCTCATTAAATAAAATATGATAGTATAGATTCTATGATGGTTTTTCTCAACCACTGTGATGTGTCGACGTGACAGGGCACAGTGCCCGCCGTCCACAGAAGCAACAGCGGCAGAACCACGAGCAAGTGCACACTGTAATTAATATAGCGGCCAACTTCCGTCATGTCGTGTTCTGATTGTCTATGAGATGGCCTTAGCGTTACAGTAGCTGCCATCTATAGCACGGGCAGGATGCACCGGCTGCAATGCTAATAGGGTACTTCAGCTTCTAGAAATATGCATTCGATATTTGATATGTACACATCATGTCCGGAATTCCATGAGAGGGAACATCACAAATGCACGGAATGCCACTTACTGAGCTGCTGGCATTTGTGGAGCATCTGTGATGTTCCTTCTCGGATCACAACACGATCACCTCGTGCATCCATCTCCTATTCCCCTTTTCCGTCAGAACCTGCCACCAATGAGTTTTCCCGACAAGCTGCTGCTGGTGCCCGCGAAGCCAATGTAGAGCTGCCCATTGGTGCCCGCCTGGATGGCGCTGAGCACGGGCGCCAGGTCCGCCGGCGCGACAGTGAGCACATTGGCCAGCGACCACGACACGGAGCTCAGCAGCTGCCACGTGCCGGGCAGCTGCAGCGCCACGGGTGGGGCTGCCTGGCCGCACGTGCTGTTACCGCTGTAGATGGCCGCCGCCTGCGGTGCCTCCGCCATGCCTGTCGCCACCAGCTGGTATGCCACTGCGTACGCCGAGCCCCTGCCGTGAGGAGAGGGGGGGAGGGGGGCGGGGGTTGGGATATTCATTTTCAGTACTTAGCTGGAGGGTACTAGGCGGAACAATTGTGAGAGTCAGAGCTGATGGCAGTGGCAGTAATATTGTGGAATGAATCATGTGGCGATGACGTCAGGCAGGAATGAGGAGAGTGAGGAGCCGTGGCTTATATTTTGGTGATCTGGATGTTGGCTGCTCCCACCGGGAGAAGGCCCTCGCACGAGGTGAGCACGCCACGCAGCATGCCTGCAGTGATGGGAATCATCAAGAGAAGCAGTAGAGATTTAGCCCAAGAGCAGCAGCAGATGATGCAACAAAGAGCAGCAGCAAATGGTGCAACAAAGAGCAGCAGCAGATGGCGCAACAAAGAGCAGCAGCAGATGGTGCAAGAATGAGCACAAGCATAGTCGGGGCACATCAACAGTGGGGTTTGCGGGGTTAGGGTTTGCGGGGTTGGGATGTGTGGGGGTAGGGTTTTCGAGATTAGGGTTTTCGGAATCAGTGTTTGCGGGGTTAGGGTTTGCGGGGCTGACCTGCTGGGTGCGGCAGCAGAGCCACGAGGTCCGCCACGCCAAGGGCGTCACTCAGCGGGGCGATCAGCGCGTCCACCTGCGCAGCGAGCGCCGACACGTCCAGATTCAGTGCACCCACCCTCTCACTGAGCGCCGCCACTCGCTGACTCAGCAATGCGCGGAGGTTGGGGAGGATGCCAGCCAGGTCTGTGGTGAGCGATGTAGCGCGCTTGTTGAGAGCGGGGATGCTGCCTTTTAGCGACGAGATGCGCGACTGGAGTGCGATAGGAGTCGTCTGGGGAGCAACGCCGCCGGGTCGCGTGATTCTAAGGTATAGAATAAGGTCGAGGTTCGCAATGCGTGCGTTGAGAGAGTCTATGCTGCTCTGGAGGGCGGATATCTGCGCTTGAAGTGCCAATGTCGCCGCGGATGCGTTGTCGTTCAACGTGGTTGCAAGCTTGTTGAGCGATTGCGTCAGCGCCCCTTCCAATGAACTGACTTGCGCTTGCAGCGCGGTTTTTAGGTCGGACACGGTACTGGTGATGGTGCTGGTGACTTGAGCTGGTCGGTTCGGGATGCGGTTCCCGAGCAGTCCGTTGGAGACGAGTCTAGACTGTGCGCATGATGCGAATAGCGCGGTTACAAGCAGTACCGCCACAAGTGAGGAAGCTAGAGGAGAACGCGCCATGAGACGATAGTAGTAGTAGGAAACGGGTGCAGTCCAGAGGGATCGCTGCTGGAACTAGGAGGTACGAATATTGCGCGGGTGGCTAAGGGAGGCAGTGGTGAGAGATTCAAAGCGGTTTCGAAGTGCGAGGAAGCTTTGTGACGACTAGTCGAGTAGGCTTTGGTTGTGATAAAATCTGCAGCTTGCCTTTGGACTAATATGTGCTCACAGATTGGGCGCTTGAACTGGTGCGGCTGTGACGGTGAGCGCGTAGATTTGGGAGGGAGTGTGGGAGGCGGTGATTGACGGTAGGGTTGCGGCGATCAAATGGGTGCGCGCTGGTGACGATGAGTGAGGTGCGGCGAAGCAGCGATTGGATGGCAGGCGACTCACCGAAAACTGGGTTCGCTTCACGCGGAAATGCTCTGAGCGAATTTCGCGAATAGGTTTACTCCGCTAGCTCGCGCCGCACGTTTAACTTGATATAAGCATAACCTCGTTTCAAACAATTGATATGGTTTCACAAGTGTGCTCCTTGTGTGCCGCATGATCTTCTATAGTCCAGTCTCTAACTATGGTGCTGCATTGGAAATATTGTATGAATTTTCGTACTAGTAATGAGAAATGATGAGAATGTACAAAAATATAGTCTAGTGTAGTACCTATCCGATGATGTAGACTATTCACGAACAGTGCTATTTATCGAGTCGACTCTAAAGCGGTATTTTCCTGTGTAATACGAACAGTCACAAGACTGTTCGCGCTACTGCCTGTTACTAAATTGCAGTCATTATTTATTTATCTAAGTCATTTATTTACTCGAGCACTCCCTTTCAATTCTGGAGTAAGATCTTGTCGGTGTCATCGCTGATATGGCCGAGTCGAGCCAAAAGCAGGCCCCTACGTTGGTTGTAAGGTACGTTGAGCGATCAACGTGCACCCCTCTTGGACCACTGTCTGTCATCGTTGCTCAAAATTTTAGACTGAAAATTCAAACAACACAAAATTTTAAGGCTGAACTATCTGTGTTACATACAAAAATTTAGTTGATTATAAATTTTGATAAAAGCATTATTATCGAACATCTCAGTCACATCTCTGAATCAGAATCTTCCTTAGCAGCTTCTATAGGAGCACGCTCATACACACTAGAGTGAGCTTCTAAAAAAAAAGACGGTAGTAAGCAACAGATGTAGGTAGAGTGAATTTAAATAAAGTAAATGCAACCAAACATACATAAGTATTGTACTAGGTGAGAAAACTGAAACGAGAATGAAATGAACTATGAAAGAGTTGGGTACAAGTACTAACCCTAATTGGGTTGTACCCTTATGGGCTACCCCACTACAGCCTACACAAAAGCATAAGCTATAATATTCTGACACACCCCCATAGGCAAAGTGGGGGAGAACAAGTGGTCACAAGACCAGTCAAGCAAAGCAAAGCAAAGCAAGCTCAGGATGGATCACAAAGTCACCACACATTCCGAGCACAAGTTTAAGGCCACAAGGCCAGTTCCTATGCAGGAGTGCATATATATATAAGGCTTGACAAAGAAGAGCAGGTGTATATATATATGTAACAGTACAAGGAAGGTCAAGAGGTGAGCAAGTGAGGCAAGGCAGACACAAGACCCAGCTGAGTACAGAAGCGCTGATGATCACAAGGCGCAAGTGCCTTGGTGAAGATATCAGCAGTGTTGGCCTCAGAGGCCACGTACACAAGCCGCAACTGACCACGCTGCTGTAGCTCACGAGCAAGGAAGTAGCGGAGAGCAATGTGCTTTGTTCTGTGCTCCAGTCTCTGCTCTCGACGCAAGGCCAGCATGGCCTTGTTGTCTACGTACAGTACTGGAGGAGAACGAGGCGGCTCTCCGAGGTCAGTCAGCAGGTAGGTGAGCCAGCGAAGCTCCTGTGCAGCCATGGCTCCTGCGTAGATCTCAGCCTCACAACTGGAGCCGAGAACAGAAGACGAGCGGGTAGCCCGCCACGAAACAGAGCCGGAACCAAGGCTGAAGGTGTAACCCTGTGACGACCGCTGCGTAGCCTGGTCGTCAGCCCAAGAAGCGTCTACATGCCCGGTGAGGACCACTGGACTCCGCCCTCCAAGCACAAGCCCCATGCCCGACGTACTGCACAAGTAGCGCAACACCCTCTTCGCTGCAGCCATGTGCTCCGGTCTATGTCTCCAAGGAGCAACATAGCGTGCGAGAATGCTAAGAGGGTATGCAAGGTCAGGTCATGTGCAGGTCATCACGTACATGAGGCAGCCAACAAGCTCTGGGTACGGGCCACTCGACTCTACGGACTCATCCGAAGGCAGAGCTGAGAGCGAATGGCAAGTAGGCAGAGGAGTGGCCTGAGGCGAGGAGTACGTGAAGCCGAAGCGCTGAAGGACCTGCTGCACCATGTGTGACTGAGTCAGGGTAATGGTGCGGGGTGCTCTGTCCCGGGTGATCTGCAAGCCAAGGTAGCTGCGCAGTTCACCCAGGTCTGTGCACGTGTGTCTCTTCTGCAGCTCGGACTTCACGTAGGCGAGTCCAGCAGTGTCAGCTGTGGCAAAGACCAAGTCGTCGACGTACACGAGGATGTAGAACGGCGGCAAAGAAGTGTCGGTGCACAGAAACAACGACGGGTCCGCAGTAGAAGGATCAAACCCATGAGCCGCAAGCGTAGTCCTCAGTGTGTCGTGCCACTCACGCGGTGCCTGGCGGAGACAGTAGACTTGCCGCCTGAGGCTCCACTGGGTGCCAGGAGGAAAAGACCCAGTGAAGCCAGGTGGGCGGCGCAGCCAGATCTCCTCGTGCAGGCTGCCCTGCAAGAAAGCAGTGCTGAAGTCAAGAGAGTGCAGCTCGTAGTCACGGTGAGCAGCTACGTGCAGCAGTACCCGAAGAGTGGTCATCTTCAGGGTGGGAGAGAAGATTTGAAAATAGTCAACTCCCTGCCGCTGACTGAAGCCACGAGCCACGTAACGCGCCTTGAAGACAGGCGGAGAACCCGGCGGCCGCTTCACCCTGAAAATCCACATGCCACTGACGATGTTCGCCCCAGGGGGGGGAACGTCATCAACGTAGGTGCCTGTGGACTTCCAGGAAGCCATCTCTGCGTCCATAGCTGCCTGCCACTGAGAGGATTAGGGACCCTTGAGGGAGTCGGGATGTCAAGTGCATACAGGTCTCCCTCAAGGGTAAGTAGTACGGACACGAGATGAGGTGAAGCAGCAGCCAGACACTGGAAGTCCTCCTGCCTGTCCTCAAGGACGTCCGTTCCAAGGGCACACTCATCCCCGACGAACGGAGGACAGACAGACTCAGACTCAGCGACAAGACTAGCAGCGTAGTCTAGGCGACAGCGAGGAGCAAAGTCGACGAGCTCAGCAACTAGGGCACACGCAGCAGTGGACTCAAAGGAAGGGTGAGTGACGACAGTAGCAAGGAGACGTGTGACAGTGGGACTGGCAGCACGAAGAGAGTCCGACTCCGGGTCGGCAAGAGCAGGAAGAGAGGACGCAGGAGGAGAAGGCAAAGGGGCACGCAGAGGAGTAGTGGACGGACACAGAGACATCCGGTGCGTGCCAGGGATAGGAGGAGGACGCTGACGCGAACCACGACCACTAGTGCGAGCAGGATGGACAGGCGACGCAGGGCGAGACGCAGGCTCACGATGCTCTGCAAGACCTCCTGTAGGACCAGTGTAGGGAGAAGGAGCAGGTAAAGGGGAGGCCGGCTGTAACTGTAACTGTGACGGGACAGGCTGTGGACACTCTAAGGGAGGAGGAGGACCAGTAGAAGGCGGAAGACCAAGAACCTGTTGCAGGAGCGGAACGAAGTACGGTCGAGACCGCGCGGCGACTCCTGACACAGTAGGGACAGCACCAGTACTCCCAGCAGCTCCAGTAGCTCCAGGGCCTCCAGCCGCACCAGTAGCACCCCCATCAGGACCGCCAGTAGTAGCCTCAACGCCAACACCCTCAGCAACTCCAGCTCTAGGGAAACCCGCAGACCCAGCAGCTCCAGTACTCCCAGTATGAGCACCTCCGGGACCCGCGACACCAGCACCCTCAGTAGCCGAAGAACCTCCAGCTGCCGACAATGCTCGTCGACCAGTAGCATGTGTCTACCTATGTATCATCGCTCCTCGTCGAGTAGCATGTTTCTTTGATGTCGACATATGCACCGACGGGGCTCCTCGTTCAAAGGTGGCTAGCATGTTTCTATGTGGACAGTGAATTTTATCACAAAGTGAAGCAAACAGAAACAAAAAAAACTAGTGCCCTACAATAAAAAAGTACGACATTAGCGCCGCCCATACCATAGCACCCTGCACACCACAGCCCGCCGACTACGCATCCGTACTGTCCTTGCCCTGCTTGCCCGTCTGCCCCCTTTTCCTCTTGCTGCCCTTGGCCTGCTTGACCTTCTCCCCCTTCCTCCCCCTGTGCTCCATATCGTACTCCATCTTCGCGTCACACGGCACATCGATGCCCTGCTCTTTGAGCTTGGGCCCGGCGACGGGGCACATTCCCTAGAACGCCAAGGTCTCAACAGTCGCTCTAGCAATCATGTCGGCCTCGACTTCCTCAACTCCCTCCTTGAAGGCCCTGGCCACTGCCTGGCTCTGCAGCGCTGGTGCGACGTTATGTGCAACCTCCCCCGCAGGAGCCTGCCTACTGCGTGCTAAGTCGATCACCGCGAGCATCACCTTCTTGAAGTCCTCGGCCCTCTCCTCCCCCGCACCTGCCACCATTGCCGCCGCCTTCCCTTCGCCCACAGCACCGAGCACCGACGCCCCGGTCTCCACGAAGCACCAGAGGGCGCATGCCGATGCCGCTAACGCTTGGGCCCCCATCTCCGTTTTCTCGTCCGCCTTCCCATCCGCGCCTTCCATCTCCGTCTTCTCTCCCGCCTTCCCCTCCACGCTCGCATCGACCTTCCCAAACGCCGCGCTCGCCGCGACCTTTCCATACGCCGCGCACATCGACACGCGATTTACCATCGAAGACATGAGAGCGTCCGTCTCTTCCTTGCCTTCCTCCGTGTTTTGGTTGATGGGGAACCAGATTGAAGCGCACGTCATGAAGCGCATCACCCGAACAAGCGTACCCACGGTACCTGCCGAGTATATCGTCGAACCTGCCGTGCAAATACATTAAAACGACACGACTTCGTCAACATCAGGGTAATGACACCGACGTGGTCGACAAAACTCGGCACGTCGGTATCCGTCTTACCTTGCTCTCGGATGGCACAAGCCTCTGGCCCACATCACCATCCACATCCCAGTCGGTAAGAACTTGACCTCCGCCCACACCTCCTTCCATTTATCCAACTCCCCCGGCTTCAAGAGGGTGAGCTCCTTCATGAGCACCTTGCTCACGTAGCCGTCGTAGACGACGTACGCAATCGCGTGCTCGTAGGCCAGCTCCATCTTCTCCCTCGACTTGCCGATGTATCGATTCTGTCCGTTTACCTTAATCTCGCCCACCCACCCATGCCTGTCGTCGGACCTGTCTTGGCGGATGCCATGACCCCTGCGTCCATGCTCTTTATCTCCCTCGCCGCCCTCCTCCTCCTCCTCCTCCTCCTCTGCCTTCTCCTTCTTCGCCGGCTTACCCTTGCTGTCCGTCTTGTCCTGATTCCCTTCCGCCTTCTTCCCTTTCTCTTCCGACATCTCCTTCCCCGCAGTCATCGCCCGCGTGCTCCTCTGAGAGACCGCCTTCCCTTTCCCGATGTCGTCCTTCCCCTTCCGTCCAGCATTTCTCTCGGCGACAGCACTCGTTGCAGCCGTCGGCTCCGCCGAACCCCCTCCGTGGGTCGCCGACGGCACCACATGCGCCGTGTCCATGATGGCCAGAGCAGGGGCGTGCTTGGGGCGTTTTGCTGCTTCAAAATGGGCCAGGACGGCAGCGGGTTCGGCATGCTTGTCGGTACGGCCGCCGGTCGCTAGCGCTGCACTCACTCCCTTCTCCGCCGCCGCATCAACCACAGCTGCACCTGATGAGGGTGCGGTCGCGTTTAGCGACGTCGGCGTCGCGCTTTTACAGGGTTCCGGCTAAGTCACCGGTGGAGCTGCCGCTTTGCGTGCGCCTAAATGGGCGCGAAGAAACGCGGACTTGGGGTCCGCAGGCGGTGGGGTGGCGACCTCATGCGCGGCAGGCGGGGCACCGGACGATGTGCCGGCAACCTGCGGAGTGACTGAGTGTCGTGCTGTTCCAGCAAGGCCGGCGTCGACCACGGGATGCTGCTGCACATCCATGCTATGTGCCTCAATGCAGCAGAGCATCGCCCTGAGCGGGTGACCACTGGGGGGCCCCTTAGCTGATGCCGGAGCATCGCCCACAGCCGAAGCAGCCTTCGCGTTGCCCTGGGCTGCAGACGGGGATGCCGAAGCAGGAGGGGCCGCACCGGCCTCCCCATCTTTGTTCGCACCTGACTGGCCGGCAGGCGCGCTGGTGATTCCGACGCCGCCATCTTTCGCCGCCTGAGCAGTTGGGACCTCCTTGTCGGTCACGCGTTTCCCACCGCTCGCCTGGGGATGGGTCTGCTCGGCGACCAAAGGCGGCCCAGGCGGAGCGGCGACGTTAGCGGCAACCCCATCAGCAAGGCCACCCGCTCCCCCCCCGCTTCCGCCTCCCCTGTTGTTCGAGGTCCTTATCACCTTCCACCCCGCCTTCGTCTTCAGCTGGTCGACAACGCTCTGTGCCGCAGGCTTCGAGCCGCGGCTCCCGTCCTATCCCTTGCTCCGCTTCGCGCTTTCCTTGTCATCTCCGTCGCCCATCCTCTTCACGCCCTGCTTGACGGCCGTCCTCCGTTGCGCGTGATCGGCGTCATTGGCCGACAGCGACGACCCACGTCGACCAAGCGCCAGATTCCCGATCATCTCGGTCATCATCTTCATCCCAGAAGCAACGAAAGACTGTCGGGTGGCCTCCGTCACCGCCTTCATGATGTCGGCCTTGAACGACTTCAAGAGCTCTTCCGGGAGGGCGGGCGGCGTGGGCTGGGGCGGTGGCGGCGGTTGCACGGCGAGCCTGGAGGTCACAGCGGTGGCTTTGTTGACCTGCGCGGCGGATAGTTGCGTCGTGATGTACTGCTCCAAACCCCGCTTCGCTTCGCCCACCTCCCCAGTCACGTGATCGGCCATGGCGTCGATCGCTCCCGTGCGTGCATATGCCACACGACCCTCCGGGTTGTCGAAGTCCTCCAACCACGCCGACGCCTGTTCCGCGAAGGTCTTCGTCTTCTTCCACGCTTCGTCGAAGCTGCCGGTGATGTTGCCCGTGATGGTCTGCGACATGGCCGCCGTCGCGTTTCACAGCTGTTCCGCCGCATACTTCTCAGTGTTGTCGACCTGCTCAGCCAACCCTTTCACGTGGTCGATGAGTCCACTAAACCCAATAAAAAACCTATCCAGCCGAGCCTGCTCCGCATTGAGCAACGTCGCCAGCCGAGTGTTCTCCGTCCTCAACAACCAGTTCTCCCGTCGCAGCTCCTCGACGTCGTCCAGTTCAGGGCCCTGCCGACCAGATGCTTCCCCGGTCTCCTGCATGCCCGTGATGTTCGCCCCTTCACCGGCGTCGACCGACACCTTCCCACCTTCGCATGCCGTCTCCTCCTAGCCCTTTTCTGTCGATGCCTCCACGCCGACCTCATCCTCCTCCTTCCCCCCATCTGCCGACCTCGTAGCATTACCCGCATCGCCATCCTCCGCTTCCTCGTTCTTTTCGTCCACCGACCCCACCGACTCTACCGCAGCTCCCACCTCTACGAACTCCACCTCGTACTCCACCTCGTCCTCCACCCCCTCCCCATCTTTCCCTTCCCCCTCCCCATCCTTCCCTTCCTCCTCCTCATCCCCGTCATCCTTCTCGTCCTTCTCCTCCTCCTCCTCCTCCTCCTCCTCCTCCTCCTCCTCCTCCTCCTCTTTCTCGTCCTTCCGCTTCACCGCACCGTCCTCCTCCTCCGCCTCCTCCTCAGACTCCGACTCCGACTCCGAATCCGACTCCGACTCCTCTTCCTTCCTTCCTGCACGCAGCGTCGCCTCCTCCTCCACCGTGTACTCCTTCCGCGGACACCCGCGCGTTCCCCTGTTGCTGGGCGGCAACTGCTGCTTGGGGCGTCGTCTGTCTTTCTGCGCCGTCGTCATCAATCACACTGTCGGCGGGTTGGACGGCTTCTGAAGTCGGCGCCGCAGAGCGTTTTTCGGCGATACGCTTGCAGATGTACTCCACCATGCTCTCTCGCAACGTCCGCAGCCCCTTTGTATTGATGTTCTCGATGCTCACCCCACTACGACGCTTCTCGCCCGTTAACGATCTGCTTGGCCACCCACCCGAACGACGCCGCAGCAAGCATGCCGGTGCCGACCTTCTCGTCCGACACTGTGTCTGGCACTTTCTGCATACAACACCGGCAATCGCAACATTATGAGCGGAGCATACAAAAACGTGCAACCCCCATAATGGATAAACGTGCAACTCACGTCGCGGATAGGGTGGTCGCAGTCGGCAAGCCTGTCCTCCACCACTGCTTGTGATGGCGGCGCGCCGTCCCACTTCCTACCGAGACGCCCGAGCTCGGCCAGGATAGCCGTGCGGAAGAGCCTGGAGCATCGTGGTAAAAGGAGGCGGTCAGCTTGTGATACCATGTGTCGGCGACTAACAAGCGGGACATCGGCGACTATTCACAACTTACTTCAGCACGTGGACGGCCTCGTCGCGGTGCTTCAGTTTCCCGGTATGCAGATCGATGTGCCGGATCGAGGTCCTGCAGACCTGTCCATTAGCCTTCATCAGATCTCCTGGGTAGAGGATGGCTATGACGCTGCGGTGTGACCCTGGAAGCGGACCGCCGCTGCGCATGCAATACACGACGGCGTCGACCACAACATTAGTCGATGGTGCGACCGACTAAACAAAACGGACAACGGGACAACGGGGAAACAGCTCACGTCGTTCTTAACGGGATAGCGGCGATGTCGGCATCGAAAACCGTAGCAAAGCAAGAATGGTCGGCGGCCTTCATGGCCGATCGAAGCTGGCCGACTCCGATTACCCACAACCGCTGGTCGTTCGGCCCAATGCAAAACCAAGCGTACCTGAGCACACGAGTGGGCATGAGGGGTGATAACATGTCGGGAAAGCAAACGCTAAAGCTGCCAGGTTGACGCTTGCTATGCCAACCGACATCCCTGGACGGGGTCCATGCCTAATGCTGACATATACCCTATGCGCCCATCTAGAGTTAGTTGGCGCCGACATATGCCCTATTCGCCAACCGCGACTACTCGAGTACCACCTGATGCCGAATCCCAAGCATCTCTCAGTGAACTCTTTCTTATGGTCGCGAAGGACGGCGAAGTCGTCCCACTCAAAGGTGAAGCTGAGACCGCGACCCATTCGGTGTCGAAGGGGAAAGTCAGCCGAAGTCGGCGCCGACTTATCTGCGTCGGGGCTCGGCTCCATATCGACTATGGGAAGACGAGGACGGCTAAGGTACGATAGCACGGATTTAGGGGGGGGCGCAGAGCTGTCAAGGTGTGAAGATCGAAACGAGATGCGGAAAATGAGGAGCGAAGCCACGGGACGTTGAAAAGAAGGTGGTACCCCAACCCAGGCCCGTTCAGCCTCGCCCAAGGGTGTGGGGCCTGGCTCGCCAGGGCTCGGAGGGCGCATGCGCAAGTGGCACAGGTGGTCCGTCTCCGCCATGGCAGAGCATCGACTTCGCGTCCATTGGCCCAGGTCGGCGAGGGGACGCACAATTCACATGCGCGCGGAGCGTCGCCATGGCCGGCACATGTCGATTTCGTAGAGGATCGCGTCAGAGGTTTTAATTTTGCATCATCCGAAATTTCGCATGCGCACGATGCGAAGCCACGGGCGAACACGTGGCGTGACCGCAACGGGTCGCGAAATTGTTGAGTGTCCCGAGGGGGGCCCCGATTTTTCGCATGGCCCTCGCCTGCTCGTCCGGGCAGGCCGCGATGGGTTACTAGGACCTCGTGGGCAGGTGGCACGTGTGGGCTGCCTTTGCGCGAGGGTAACTTTCCCACGCGCGAGGTGTCGCCGATTCGCCGACCCCACCCGGTAACGTGGGTCGCTATTCACTCTCGGAGCGGGGCTGCGGGGCGGCGGTCGTGCGCTCGGCCCAGCCCTGGGCCAGGCTGGCGGGCCCGCACGCGCGTCCGTTGCCCGCCTCGTCACGCCCGGCTCCGACGAGCCCCCTCGACGACATAGGCAACTTGGCTCTGACGACCGATTTCCGATGAGGTGTTCGGTTGGGAATTGAAGGGCCATTTTCATGTGCAATCCCATCAGTACGGGAAATGTGCTCAGGTGGGAGCCCAACAGCTTTCGGCACTGTTATGGGCACTGTTCTGGCACTGTGCATACGTGTCGCAATAGACCTTGTTACAAGCTCGCCACTCACTCACTGTTCAGCGGACAAATTTCATTGCCTCTGACACATTCTGACGGAAAATCAAACAGACAACAGACCAAACTACCCGAAGCTGTAAAGGCCACCCAAAAAACAAAATAAAACCCCTAGAGAACCTGGAAGCCATTTCGGGAGGTATCAACCCTAAACACGAAAACCCATCTGGTGTTTACGCATGATGCTTCCCGATTCAATTCCATTCCGATTGAGTTTTATTTATTTTTACGAAAACCTTGAAGAAGCATCAACCCTAAACACCAGGAGGTTCCCGTGTTTAGGTTGATCTTCCAAAAATGCGTCTAGCGTCACTGTAGCTTTTAGTTTGTTTTTTTTTTAGTATTTCTTATCAGTTCCTGGTAGCGTGGGTAAACGAAGCGTGTGTGATCGCATTAATTTCACTCAGCGAGAACACATGATGCCCGACCCCTGCCCGCGAATTTGCTCTGCACCTACAAGAGATCCTGCACCCAAACCATTTTTCACGGGCAGTTGCACACAGGGTATAGACACCCTAGACTAGTTGCATAGTGGCGGGGTATGTTAATGATGACCTTGCTGTCCAAAACAAAAAATGTTGACCCAAGTCGAGCCTTGTTTCTAGGCCAGAAACAAGGCTTGCGAAAGGCATGGACGAACATACTTTGACGTCGCGCGTGAAAGTGGGCGTGACATCACGCCACGTCGGTCCGGTGCATCGTGCGCCAAACGCACAAAACGAACAGACAGACATACACGTGTATGTTGCCAATGCCCATCGCAAGCACATTCTGAACCAACCGGTGTGATGTAACTACACGTCACAAGTAATGTTTGTGGTAACTGTGTAAATGAGTAAGCAGGAATGAATGAACTATGAATGAAAGCAGTACAAATATGAAACCCTAACTGGGTTGTACCCCCTATGGGATACCCCACTACAGCCTACACAGCAGTATAAGCTATAGATATGTTCTGACACACCCCCATAGGCAAAGTGGGGGAGAACAAGGGGTCACAAGACCAGTCAAGCAAGACAAAGCAAAGCTCAGGGTGGATCACAAAGTCACCACACAGTCCGAGCACAAGAGCAAGGCCAAAGGCCAGTTCACAAGCAAGAGTACAGACATATATATATAAAACTAGACAAGCAAGAGCAGGTATATATATATGTCACAGTACAAGTAAAGTCAAGAGGAGAGCAAGTGAGGCAAGACAGGCACAAGACCCAGCTGGGTGCAGAAGCGCTGATGGTCACAAGGCGCAAGTGCCTTGGTGAACACATCAGCAGTGTTGGCCTCAGAGGCCACGTACGCAAGTCGCAACTGACCACGCTGCTGCAACTCACGAGCAAGGAAGTAGCGGAGAGCAATGTGCTTCGTTCTGTGCTCCAAGCGCTGCTCTCGACACAAGGCCAGCATAGCCTTGTTGTCTACGTACAGCACTGGAGGAGAACGAGGCGGCTCTCCAAGGTCAGTCAGCAGGTAGGTGAGCCAGCGAAGCTCCTGTGCAGCCATGGCTCCGGCGTAGATCTCAGCCTCACAACTGGAGCCGAGAACCGAAGACGAGCGAGTAGACCGCCACGAGACAGAGCCGGAACCAAGGCTGAAGGTGTAACCCTGTGACGACCGCTGCGTAGCTTGGTCGTCAGCCCAAGAAGCGTCCGCGTGGCCGGTAAGGACCACTGGACTCCGCCCTCCAAGCACTAGCCCCATGCCTGACGTACTGCACAGGTAGCGCAATACCCTCTTCGCTGCAGCCATGTGCTCCGGTCTGTGTCTCCCAGGAGCAACATAGCGCGCAAGAATGCTCAGAGGGTATGCAAGGTCAGGTCGTGTGCAGGTCATCAGGTACATGAGGCAGCCAACAAGCTCTGCATACGGA